TTTATGTAAACAATTTAAACAATTTAAATAATGTAAATAATATAAATAATATAAATAAAATCAATAAAATAAATAAAATAAATAAATAAATAAAATAATGTGATCAATGTAAAAAAATACGTTAATGATATAGATAACAAATTTATTAATAAAAAAAAAAAAATTTTTTTTAAAAAAAACATACATTGCAAACCAATCACCACCTTCTTTTTTTAGTTGAGCGGGTACAGTATCAGGATCCATATCACCTAACGTTTGATTACTACCACTAAGCGAACCTTGCTTTATTGGAGCACGAGTTCCTGGTAGTTGAGCACCCATATTTTGATTATTCTTTCGTTTATTATTTGAGGAAACCGCTTGTGTATTACCATTGGTAGGGACACCAGAGGATTGTTGATCAGGACCACCAATATTTTGAGGAATCTGTGGTATTAAAGTTACAGGCTGAAATCATGATAATATAAATAATCAATAAAATAGAGATAGAAAAAAAATAGAAAATAACCACTTAAGGGTTTAAGGTACCTTTGAAATTTTGTTACCAGGTTTACTACTTGGACCAACAGGAGGAATATAACCTTGAGATATGGGTTGACCTTGGCCAGATTGAGGCGGAGGGATACTATTATTACCGTACAAAGGTTGAGATTGTTGAGAGCTAGGGGTCATGCCGAGAGGATTTTGAGGACCGGCAGATGAAACGCCATCCTCTATTCGAGGTCGTTTAGGAGTATGAGGTTGTGATAGAGTACCTGGAGGACCGCCACCACCATTAAGATATGGAGAATGAGCAGAACTACCTCCAGCTTGTGGGACACTCTGAGGAGGACCACTAGGACCAGGATAGTTTCCCGGGTGGCCAGGTTGATTTGTTGGTTGTTGTGAAGGATCCATGGACATTTGAGGAGGAGCAGCAAGACCAGGGGCGCCATTACCACTAATGATACCACCAAATAAGTTGCTTTGACCCTGTCCAATGGTCGGTGGGGGAGGTTGAGGATGTGATGGAGGAGGAGGAGGGTGAGAACTTGTAGAATGATGAGGATGCAACCTTTGTTGGTCAATTTCACGCTGCAGATTGCGCAGATCGTTATCATACCTTAAATTAAAAAGGATAAAATAGTATAATGAAACATGAAGGGAAAGATCAAAGAGTTTAATAAATGTAATAAAAATTTATAAAGAAAATAAAGAAAATAAAAAAAATCAAATAAAAATAAAAATTACAATAAAAATCATATAAAATAAAATAAAAATAAAACAAGTTGATGAAACATACTGTTGCTTTATGCCTTTATGTGTAGCTTGTAATTCATATAAACCCTGACGAATAAGGGCAACCTCCTCGGATTGTTGTTGAACTATAAGTTAAAAAAGATAGGAAAAAAAAAGTAAGATGAAAATTGATATAAACAAGAATCGAGAATAATTTAATAATAATTTCAACATTAGATCGATCGAGCATTGTCGTACAGTGCGACAAGGGAACGTCATCGAATATATCATAACGCAGTAAATAAGTAAATACAAGCAGTGAATACAGAAATAAATTAACCAATAGTAAGATAACACAGAAGAAATTGAATGAACACATCAAATCGAAATTGAACGAATTTCATTTAATTCAAACAATTTAATATAATAAATTAAAAGAATCATAAAGAAAAACCAATTTAGGGGGGAGGGAAGATAATAAGGGAAATAAAATCACGAACCTTTATGTTCAAATTCTTCGCGCTGTATTTTATAAGTCATAGCCTCCTGACTAAGACTTTCATATTCATTTTTTAAAGCTTCTAAAAGCTCGTTGAAACGACTCGGACCGCTGGTTCCGCCAGGAACAATCTGCCTATGATTGTATATATTCGACATTTTGAATTTGGTTACGCTCCAGGAGAAATTAAAAGTTTTTGAGACTAGCACTAAAATTTGACGTTATTATCTCCCTTGACTCTTCTTTTTGCCCCGCACAGAGGAATTAACTAAAGAAATGAGCGAGATTGGTTTGGTAATAGTTTATATAAAGCGAGAAAGGTAAGCAGCTGTTGTGATACACAGCGGAGGTTAAGAAAAACG